AGACAAGAGCAAACCACTTCTGAAATTTTGCCAAGGAAACTGCAGGGATTGGTCCAGTCAGTTCACAGGAGACAAAACTGACTTGAAGGGACCAAAAGTAATTCCTACATTGACATTCCAGTTTTCAGTCATAAGCAGCATATCTTGCTTGCATGTTCTATCAATTTCAGTTTAAATCTCTTATAAACTCATCAACTAACTCTTCTCCTGCATTAGTGACTGGAACATTAACTTGAATAACTGTCATTTTAAGAGGTTGTCCACAAAGTTTATTAGTCAGCATAGTACCCAAATACTGTATTTGCCATATCTTTCCTGATTATGAAAGTAATGCAATTTCTTCTTTATTTTTCATATCCTGACTAATAAACCCTGTGATCGTCTGACAGAAAGTGTGCAATTTCAATCCATTCAAATTCACTGATGCCTAAGATGTTAATGTACTATATAGTCAATTCTTTTCAGCTTTTTTCTGGGTTGAGCTTTCCAATGCTTTTCTGTTCCATATTCTCACTGTAATTCTTTCTCTAGATATTCTTTTCCTGCATGGCAATATTGATAACTACTCCAAAAGATCTTCAGCTCTTCCTCAGTAGCATATTGACTGCCATTCAACCTCAGCAACTCATAATCAGTCACTATGTCATCAATCACTTTATATTGCTAACCATGTGCTTTTCTTGATAAAATGCAGGGATGTTTCACTATTGCCTTCCCCTGTGCAATATGAAATGATTTCTTTACAGTTCTCATTGAAATGATCACCCATTTCCAGCATTTCCTATATTGCTGCTGTACTGCTACTCCCAGACGTAGGTGCCTGTTGGATTTAGCTGGGCAACTGGAATGACTTTCACAGAGTCAAACCTGTTTTGGGCTTCAATAGGAGACCACCTTGACACCCTGGAGCTATAATTTAATGTAGGAAGTTAAATAATATCCAAAACAATGGTGAATCACTTCCCTACAGTTGCCCCTTCCTATGGTCATCTGAGAGTTAACTTGAAGTTATATGGGTAGGGAGATAGATGATAGGACAGAGATATACCAGTAGGTAAAGATATAGGTAGAGATAGAGATAGAGAGATGATAAGGTTGGAAGTAGAGATAGAGAGATAGTCTTTGACTCACTCCAAGACTCCTACTGTCCCCATTGACTTTTGTCTTCTTCTTGCTCCCACTGCTGATGAGGCATGCTCGCCCTGGCTCTCCATGAGGAAACCATGTGAGACCATCTCCCCCAGGAGGAAACCGCCATGTGCAATCTTGTAAAGAAAACCTCATGTGGCCAGCAGCTGCCTCATGAAGGACCATGCCAAGCATGCTTGGTCAGAAACGGGGAAGAAATGGTGAAAGTCAGCTAGAGTGGCAAGGGCTGCAGAGTGCAGGGAGCCAAAAGGGCATAGACAAGAGGGAGGGAGGTGGAGGTAAGAGTGGAAGCAACCCTGTGGTTATAAGTACAGGTAGGCTGCCAAGTGACCAAATTTTGTTCACACAACAGTAGGATGGGGAGCTGCAGCAGCTGTAATTTTTGAGAACTGGTCATGAGTCCCTTCATTCAATACCACCATAATTTCAAACAATTGCTGAATTAATAATTGTAAATCAAAGACCACCTGCAAAATCTTTAGATGGACAGACAGATAGAAATAATAGAGATGATAAAAGTAGAGATGGATATCCATAACTGAAGCAAAAAGTGGAACAAAAAAACCTGGACATAGTTTCAGTATTAAAAGCCACAGTTATTTGGTGAAACGTGAGCCTTTTTTTTTTTTTTTTTTTTTGCTAAAGCTGCTTATTTTGATGAAAATCCTGGAACTCCTTGCTGATGACTGTTAAACTGATAAATGTCCCTACTAAATCCTCATCTTTTACAATGCAAATAGATTGGCATTATTATTTCCACTGAGTTCATTGCTTGTTCCTTTTTAATTTTATAGCTTCCTGAGCTGAGTGCTAGAAAATCAATAAGTAATCTGGATCCTGGCAAAGTAGAAGAAAGTTATGTTTTGCACTTTTAGTAAATATTTTGAAAATTAATTTATCTGAAGAAAAGGGCGCTTAGTTCATATACTAACCCATTCATCAATGCTGTATTATAAATTGCATGGAATTCATATACGCTTGTTTAGAAGATGAAACAAACAAAGAAACAAATTTAAAATATTTGTGATAAGCTTTAGGAATAAAATAAATTGAACTTTCAATATCTAACCCATAATCTGCTGAAACAGATTCTTAAGAATGTGTATTTGGATTTAAATAATTGAGTTCACAATTTCCTGTCAAACATTTATGTGATCTGTAGGAATGCTGTCATTAATTTTGAAGGTAGAATCTTGCCTCAGTATCAATATTTGGCTCCTGAAATGAATTTTTGAATTCTGGGAACAACTGATTTGCTAAAATGCATACATATTGGATCTATTCAGCGGAATGGGAAATGGATAGATGACAGCACAGGTTTTTGTGAATTATAGCTTATATTCCTTATCTCGAATGCACAATGCCTGGTGTATTTAGCAATTGCTATGTTGTTTCTCTTAATGGAAACATTTCTGCTGAAAACCTACATCTTCATTCCTATTGAAGTAGTGCATTTGCCTCTTGCAGAATCGCCTTCTCTGTAGATATGCAGTTTGCATAAATTGAGTGACCATTCAGAGCAGGCACTGCTTTATAACCTTTAAGAATCCAAAACAGCTAAGAAATTCTCTGTTTTGTTCAAGCTCTGCCACTGTGCATGTCTGAAAGTGTTTTGAATTGTTTGCACATAAAATGAAGTGCATAACCAGCTGTGTACTGGAATTAGGAGATTAAGTTTAAAGTATAGGAGCAGCACATAGCAGGTGCAGCCACAGCATCCTGAAGTTCTGTATTGTGAAAGGAGTTAAGGTGATGTTAGTTATAAAGTTTTGGTAGTTGCATACCGAAAGGAATTAAGGTTATTACTTCTTAGGATGACTATTGCTGCTATTCCTTTGTATGCTGCCTGCCACTAGTTCAGTTAGTCTCTTAGTTATCAGCAAATTTTGTTTATAGATCATAGAGTTTCCTGCTTTTTGATATGGAAATATTCAGCACCAGAAAAATAAGGACCGTAACTCTCCACACCTTGGTAGTAAGTCCAGCGCATCTTGAGGGTTGCTGTTTGGGTAGGTACACAAAATTAAGCTTTAGACATATTTGGTTATGTACTGTTTTAGGTTATTTACAGACCTTGAGTTTGGAAAGAAATTTACTATTGTTTCTACATATGCAGAAAGCACAATGCTGTCTGTTAGTTATATAATCTCCTTTATTCCAAAAGGAAAGAGATTGAAGTTAAGAGCGTAGATGTAACAACATGGAAATTTGTTCAAACTAAAGAGGATGAAATCAAAATCGACTCTGAGAAAAAAAAATATTTTTGGAGGAAGGCACTATTCCAGTGATTAATATCTAAACTCTCTAAATTGACCACATGCAAAATCAAGTTTATTTGGTCAGAAGTGGTATAATCTCTTCTCAGTTTATGCTGGAGATTTATAAATATAATGTAAAATCTCATTACCATCTCTGCAGTGTAAGATAATTTTTATATTGAGATCACTTCCTGACCTCCCCTATTAGTTATTTCTCATTAGCTTAGTACTTTAGATATGTGCAGAGAGTTGTTATATTCAGCCTCTCATTTATTAAGAGGATCTGTTGAGTATATTTACTCTGTCAAATTATAATTTTTATCTCTTCTTTCTTAACCTTCTCTCCCAGTTCTAGTTCAGGCTAGTTAAGCCTTTATTTCCATTTTACCCAAGCACATTCCCTATAAACCAAGACAGCTAAAATGTGATAAAATGTGTGGCCTGTCATCACAAACACCAACTCTTTAGACTTGCATCCTATGAGTATGTATGTCATGGAGCTTGGATTATGATATCATGTTGCACTTTTTACCACTTTCCCAGTATATAGTTATGGAGCAATGTAGTGTTTCATGACCAACTGTTTAAAAAAGAGCTGGGTAATAAAATAGTAATAAGATCTAGAAAAGTTTTTCTGAAAAGACTTATTTTATACACTATATACTCACATATGGACTACGGATTGAGACTCTATTTAAGCCTTTAAGGCTTGTGACCCATATATTTTCCTGAAGAAAGCCAACAAAAGCTGTATATCTGTAACTTGGTGAAGGGTAAGAGCAAATTGGAGCAAGTATGTCCTTCTCTTGGCCCACATTTCTTTTGGAATTACCATTATAGCTGCAAAAAATGATGGCTGAATTTAATATAAAGGGCTTCCTTTATGTAGAAACATTGTTCTTCTGAATACTGAATGTTGGAGAACAAATGCCTTTCTTAGAATGCCAGGAGGTATTTGGTTGGATGAAGCTTGTAGAAAAAAAAATGATGATCTAGAGGGAATTTTATCTGATGTAGTAGGGCAATTAGGCAATTAATATGCTTTCAAGGTTCTTCAATATGCTTTCACTATATTATACAAAGAATTAAGACTTTGATTGCTTCCAGGCAAGGAAGCACTGGAAATCACTGTACCTCATTCATAAAATTATATAGAAGAAAGATGATATTGTCTACTATATGTAACCCTACTGCATTTTCCCACATCCATTCCTTCTTGTTCCTTTTCCCCAGAGAACCATGCATTTTTTTCCCCTGCTGAATGCCTTTTGATTATGAGCATTAGGAATCTTCCTTTGGGAAGCACTTATGCCACAGACCTGATCGAATAATGACACTGGAAGATTTATGCTCCGAGAAACTCCAAAGCACAACTTAATTTCAATACCTTCTCAGATTTTGGGCTTCATCCAGAAAAGCTATTGCTAAGAATTTGTGGAATTAAAATCTATACATCTATAGGGTGCCCAGGCTGGTGTAAGGCTGTCCCAGGCGGTGCATGCTGGAAAAAAAACAGCCAGTGAGAAATGCAGTAGATTATGAGCTTTCTTCCTTTGTCTTTCTTTACTAACCCATATACACTTTATCCTGCAGGTCTCATAATACATGAAGGACCCTCGGTTTACCGGATTTTTAAAAGGTGGCAAGCAGTCAATCAACAGTGGAAAGTTCTGAATTATGACAAAACAAAGGATTTGGAGGATCAAAAATCAGGGTCTAGGAGCAATCAGCGAACCTCCTCTCAGATCAACCATTCATCCTCCACTAATGGCGCAGCCAGCAACTCTGCTGTAGGAGACAGTGTTGCCCGAGGAGCTGGTCATGCCACGGGTACTTTGTCTGATCATCACTGTGCTTATACCATCTTGCATATACTCAGCCATCTGAGGCCCAACGAACAGAGAAGCCATTCTAGCACAAACAGAGAGCTTGTCATGAGAGTCACCACAGTCTAGCTAAAGTATTTAGGAGGCCTTAATGTAACTGAATGGGAAAGGAACTCAAAAGCAAGAGGCATGTGGGCTCTCTGCCCTCTCCCCATGCCATCTTCTGAAGTGGCACAAGGAGCACAAGAAGCCTTTCCCCAGCCAAGAGAGGGCAAGGCAGACCAGCTGCTCACCACGAAAAGAAGTTAAAAGTTTGGCTGTGAAACAAAGTGCAATATATACTGCAAACAGTGAACTAGGACCAAGTCCTCAAAAAAAGGGGCATGGGGGAGCAGAAAGGTTTAATTTGTCATGTATACAATGGAATAAGTAAAATTTTAAAGAATTGCACACCCAAACACATGCATATAGGAAGAAGGGAGGAAGGTTTGTCTGGTTTTTTTTTAAAATGTATTAACCAGAGGTTTAAGTATTCAGAAATTATTCTGCGGCATATGCCAATTTGTGTGCCCCAGGATGTTCAAACTGAAATTGCAATTCATTGATTGCTCCTGTTTTATTGCCCAGGATTTTATCACATAGCAAAGAGGTCCCCAACCTTTTGAGCATTAGTTCTGTGGAGAGAGGTTTTTCGACGGACCGGAGGGGGTGTGGTTTCCTGTACTGCCGGCATCCCGCAGATGGGGCTTTGCTTGTTTGCGCAGACTGGTTTCTGGCATGCCACAGTCCAGTGCTGGTCCATATACCAGGGGTTGGAGACCCGTGACATAGCACATAGCCCTACTGGTTCTTCTTACCTCTTCAAATAGAATCAGCTAGTACCCTTTGAGGGAATGGGAGGAGAAAGGGAGGGAATTCTCCACTTGAATCACAAACATGTAAACAACTGACAAAGCACAAGATACAGATGAATGATTCATCATGGACATTTCATTTAGAAATTTGTTGAAATGAGCTTTTTCCATATCAAATTTTCTACTTGACCTTTCAACCATTTTCTGCAAAGTCAATTCATTTTTCACTATATGAGTAATTTGGTACCATTCCCTATGATTGTCTTGCTTTTTTTAAAAAAAAAAATCTACCTGGCTTTCAGTCTGCAGCCATTTAAGTTGTTTTGCAATCTTCTCCATTTAATCATTTATCAAAAATCTTGTACTTAATGAAACTGGAGTTCTGATTAATCTACCCTGTGGGTTTAAGCACCAACTGTACACTCTGTTTTCTGGCCTATGGGGGTTTCTAAGTAAACATGCTCAGGATTGCACTGACAAGTTAATTTAGGCTGGATTTACTCATTGCATTCAGATTGTTTGTCTTCAACTTAAGGTTATGTGTGAATCCATAACCTGGCCTAATGCAGTGTTTCTCAATTTTAGCAACTTGAAGTTGTGTAGACTTCAACTCACAGAATCCCTAGCTATTCTCCAGCCTTCAAATATCCAAGGTTGAGAAACACTGGCCTACTTTATGTGCTGATTAGGCCATGATGTCCTGTTCTACCAGCCATAGTTAAAAATCATGGTGCATAGCCTAGGATTGGAGTTCTATAAATTAAGTCAGAGTTTATAACTCCCATTAAGATTCAATTGCCAGACTGTTCTAAGGAAGCCATCCTATTTAAACTGATATCTATGACGTATGTTGATAGTTATTTCCTGAGTAAATTGATCAAGATACTCATTTTTCTATATATACTTCACAAGTGCCACTACAAGCTGCCTTGAATTATGATAAATATATACCATCTATGTATGTTTATATGTATATATGTGTCTGTGTCTGTGTACATGTACACATATACATGTATTTGTGTGTGTGTGTGTGTACACACACATACACATACACACACATACACACACATACACACAATACACCCAAGTTGATTTATTAGATTGGCAGTTATGTTGATGTAAACATGTGAACACTCGGACATATAGTAGCTTGTGACTTGTCACTTGGAAAACTCAATATTTACATTTCTCAATTTCCCCCCTCCCCCGTCACCCCAATAAAGAGCACAATTGTAGAGTTTGGCCTGAGGAATCCTTTTAATATTGCCTTAGAGCCAGTTTATTATTATTTTTTTAATTTTAATTTTTATTTTATTCAAATATAAATAATACAAACATAATGCATAAAATAAAAACAGTATAAAAAATAAAAATACTACAGTGCACCCACTCACCCCCAGAGACCATTTTTATTACCTATATTTCTTCTCATATAACAATATACAATATATTTCAATTGTGCCCTTATCCCCTCCAAATCAGCATATATTCTTGAGCAGGTTTATTCCCTTTGCCTTCCACCAAGACTGTTTTTATAAAATCATCCCATATTTCATTATAATTATTTACTTTAATCATCCCTTTTTAAAATTTAATTTCTGTTGTTAATTTATCATTTATTGCCATATTCCATATTTCATTATACCAGTCATTTCTTTGAATAACCCAATTCCATCTCCAATATTTAGCCATCTCTAATCTAGCTGCCATTATCAAATTTACAATCAATTCCTTTTTTTTCTTCATTTATATCTTATTTTTCTCCAGTGACAGTAATGCAATCCTCGGTGATGTATCTAAATTTACCTTCAAAAGTTCTCTAATTTCCCTAAACACCATGTCCCATATCTTTTGTGCGCTATCACAACCCCCCACATATGTTTATATGTTCCAATCTCTTTCTCGCACTTCCAGCAAATATTTGTATATTTAACATCTATTTGATTTAATTTACCTGGTGTTAGGTACCACCTCCATATCACTTTATATCCATTTTCCTTAACTCTAACTGACATATACTTATATACTCTTCTGTTCCAAATATTTTTCCAATCTTTATTGTTTATTTCTCCTAAATCTGTTTCCCAGATTAATTTTAAACCTTTTCCTGATCTTCTACTTCAGTTAATATTCTGTATATTTTCCCAATTCTTCCTTTACCTATATATTCTTCATTTTCCTCACTTTCTTTTATAATCATTTCAAATTTTGTTAACTGTATATCTTTCACCTTGAATTTTTCATCCATTTTTATCCATTTCTCTAATTGTATTAAATTCAACCATTTTAATTTAGCATCTAATAAAACATTCTTTAATTGTATTATATTCTTTATCTTGTTCTTCCAGTCTTCCCATTTATATATCTGGTGTTGTTTTTTTAAATTTACTAATCCATTCTTTCAATTCAATCTTAGGGAATTTCTCCATTTCTACCACCGGTGTTAAAGGAGAAATTCCTGGCATTAACTGATATCTCCATTTATTCCATAATTCTATCACATTTTTTAAAAAGAGATTTTGAATCCTCTTAACAATTTTTAATATCCTTTTTAAACCAATATGTTTCTATAGGATCACCTATTTCCCTTAATTCCTTCAACTCTATATTGCTCCATAACAAATCTCTTATTTACTACTATAATATCTGGGACCACCCTTAATTGATTAGCTAACCAATAATTTCTAACGTTTGGAAGACCCAGCCCACCCTTTTTTAATGGTTCATACCATAATGCTTTACTTATTCTTGCTCTCTTACCTCCATTACAATACATCTCCAGCAATCTCTGTACTTCCTTTACTTCTTGATCCGAAAACTTAATTGGGATAATCTAAAACAAAAAATTAATTTTTGGTAAAACTTTCATTTTTATTGCTGCAATTCTTCCGAACCATGATAATTTAACTTTTCCATATTTATCCATTTTATCTTTTATGTCTTTCTTAACTTCTCATAATTTATCTTCTTTAATTCTTGAATATTTTTGTGATGTCAATACCTAAACATTTGATACTATCTACTATTTTTAATTTATATTTTTCTTTCAATACATCCATTTCTTCTTTACTATGGTTATATAACATCATTTCTGATTTTTCCCAGTTTATTTGCAATCCACTATATTTCCCAAATTCATTCAAATGTGAATATACCCTCTCTATAGTACCTACGGGATTTTGAAATGTTAGTAATGTATCATCTGCAAATAAATTTATTTTAGTTTTCTTATATACACCAATTCCTTCAATCAATGAATCTTTCCTGATTGCATTTGCCAAAACCTCCATCAATAATGCAAATAGAACTGGAGATAAGGGGCAACCCTGTCTCGTTGCCCGGCTTAAGATTATTGTCTCTGTAACACCATAATTTATTATTCTTGCCTTATTCTCTGAGTATAATTGATTTAACACCTTTATAAAAAAATTTCCAAAGCCTAACTTCTCTATTAATATCCTCAATGTAGGCCATTCCACACAATCAAAGGCCTTAAATACATCTAATGCTAATAAACCAGCCTTTAATTTTAGATTCTTTATGTAATAACCTATATTTAATACCCTTCTTACTACATCTGACATTTGTTGGCCTCTTATAAATCCACACTGATCATTTTTAATAGAATTATCTATAAATGTATTCAATCTCTTTGTCAATATTGCTGTAAAAATCTTAGCATCCTGATTAATAAGGGGTATTGGTCTATATGATCCTGGGTTTATTAGCTTTCGCTATCAATACTATCAGAGATTGCTTCCAGGAACTTAGAGCCAGTTTAGATTGTAATACTGCCAGGAAAAAAAAAGGCTGGTTAACCCTCCTGAAGAGAATGAATTGGACTGGATGGGTTTTAATAAGATGTGCCCTAGACGCATTCTGTTGTTGCCCATAAAGATAGTTCATGTGAAATAGAAGGCAAGGAACATTAAAGGTTATCCATTCTAAACTGACCTCTTTCACATGGACCAAAGCAATATCATTTAAGCAAGATAGCAACTGCAAAACTGCTTACAGAATCATACAATTGAAAGACATCTAAATGTCCATCTAGTTTACCTGCTGCTCAAATCAGGAAATTACATCAGGACTCTTATAGCAATTCAGTGGTGCAAGGGTGGAATATATATATATATATTACTTTAGTCTCTGAATGCATCTTTACTCAATTACCCCTAAAGCTGCCAGTTCTCATCCTTCCCCCCAAAGAAACTACAGGTAGTCCTCAATGTATGACCATAATTGAGCCAAAATTTATCTTGCTAAATTTTGAGAAATTTGCTAAGTGAGTTTTGTCCCATTTTATAACTTTTCATTTATAAAATGAATCACTGCAGTTGTTAAATTAGTAACACAGTTGTTAAGTGAACTGGGTTTCCCCATTGACTTTGCTTGTCAGAAGGTTGCAAAAGGGGATCACATGATCCCAGGAGACCCTGCAATCATCATAAATGTGAGTCAGTTGTCAAGCATCCAAATATAAATCACGTGACCATGGGGATGCTGCAACGGTCGTAAGGGTGAAAAATGGTCATGTCCCTTTTTTCAGCACCGTTGTAACTTTGAACAGTCACTAAGTGAACTGTTGTAAGTTGAGGAGCGCCTGTACTTCTGAAAATTACTGCAAATGTACAGGTATTTTAATAGTTTAATTTGTTAAATGTGAGATTGTCCATAAAGCGGTTAACTTATTTGTAATTGAATTTATATCTCATCTTTCTTCTGTCACTATATTGGCAGCACAGTGGCACACATTGGGATAGAGGTGTCTCCTTATTTTGCCCTGATAACAATAAATACAGGAGATTGGACTGAGGGATAGCAATTGGTCCCTACTAGCTTAGAGAGCTTTTTGGTCAAGGGAAGACGTTGTCCTACTTTTCCTTGATCCCTGCTATTCCTCACCGCTATGCCATATTGATACTCTGTGGGAGACGATAAGCCATTTTAATATTAGCTAAATGATTGCCTAGTTGAACTGCTGTTTTAGTTCAGCAGGAATGGGCAGTGATAGTACTGTATATAGATACAGTGTATATTAACACGCCATAATGAGAGCAAGAAGGGAATCCCATAATTTCAGGCCAGAGCTTAAAATCTGTTTTATTTTGGGGGTATTCACATATGAAAAGGGCTGAAAATACAGTTTTCACGCTAATAATTCATGCTGTCTTGCGGCATCATTCAGCCATTAATATTGTGCAATTAGACCAGTATTGGAGAACAATTACCCAGCATCAGATCAAAAGGCTGGGTGATGCTTTAAGTTTAAGGCAATTGATACACTCATGCTGAATGACGAACTATGCAACCCTATATTTTGTACAGTGAAGTATGCCTAAAATGAAATGCTACATTTTTGTGTTAATTCTCAGACGGTGTTGCCCCAAACAGATAAGGACATCATGTTTCCCATAATATACCTAAAATTAGCCTGTATAATTTATTTGTTTATGGTCATGAGATGGAATCCTTGATATTCCTTCCTTTGACCAATTTGCAGCTCATCAAATGAAGTTAAAGAAGTTATATCTAAATGAATCAGATGATTACTCAGAGTTTTAAGCTGGTACAAGCTCTCCATTGGATAGGAGAAAAAGTGGTCAGAAAGTGTGTTCTATCACTTGTAAACTACTTTTTTCTCACTATGGAGAAATATGTACACAAATATTGGTGAAATGTTCTGCATAATTCTCCCTCCAAAAAGATTTATGCCCCTGCTGGTGTTAAAAAAGCAAGTTTCATTGAAGTCAATGGGCTTCTGAAGAAAGGTGCAAATAATTGTACTCCAAGTATTGGGGGGGGGGGAAATAAAGCACTTGCTGTTCTTATCTAACAAGTCATAAAATTATTAGAAAAGAACTGTATTGTATTGAAAAAAATAGTGGAACTACGGAAAACAGTGAAATATTCTAGGTACAAATTTTGTAAAATGTTGGGAAGGAATCTTTTTTTCTCTCACTCTGGTTTAAGATAAATCTCTTTGTAAAATAGGATGCTTGTTGCTCTTTTGTTAGTGTTTGGCCATCTCTGCAAACATGGGTAGTCCTAGACTTACGACCACAATTCAACCCAAAATTTCTGTTACTAAGCGAGACAGTTGTTACGTGAATTGTGCCCCATTTTACAACCTGTCTTGCCACAGTTGTGAATTGAATCACTGCAGTTGTTAAGTAAGTAGTATGGTTGTTAAGTGAACCTGGCTTCCCCATTGATTTTGTTTGTAAGAAGCTCAAAAAAAGATGATCACATGAACTGAGGATACTCCAACCATCATAAATGTCGCCAAGCATCTGAATTGGACCATGGGAATGCTGCAATGGTCTTAAAGTAAGAAAAGTAGTCATACGTCCCTTCTTTCAGTGTTGTTGTAACTTCGAACGGTCACTAAATGAACTGTTTTAAGTTCAGGACTACCTGTAGGCATTTTTAACGGCAGTTGAAACATCACAAGACTGCAATGTTGTGATGGTGCTTCTTTCATGATTGCTGTTGAACATCTAATCAACTATATAAGGGGTCTTCAAACTTGGCCCTTTTATGACTTGTGGACTTCAACTCCCAGAATTCCTCAGCCAGGCATGTTGGTGGAGGAATTCTGGGAGTTAAAGTCCACAAAT